ATCTATCTATCTATCTATCTATCTATCTATCTATCTATCTATCTATCCATCCATCCATCCATCCATCCATCCATCCATCCATCCATCCAGTCATTCATCCATCATATCTATCTATCTATCTATCTATCTATCTATCTATCTATCTATCTATCTATCTATCTATCTATCTATCTATCTATCTATCTATCTATCTACAGTATATTCCTCTGGTGATGTTAAAGTTAATTTAGACTGATAAAAAGCTGGTGTTTTAGCATCAAATTGGTGTCTAAGCATTCCTTCAGTTTTTCCTCTCCTTTACGCATCTCCAACTTCCCCCCGCCCTCACTCCCCTACCAGTAATTTTACTCAGGAAAAATAAATGAAAATACAAGACACCTCTTTTCCCATCTTCCTCCCTCTTTCTTTCTCTCTCTCTCAAATATTTTTGCTCGATCGGTGACAGGAAGTCCAAAGCTCAAAAAGATGGCAATTCGGAAGCAAAGTAATATTTTGGATATATATATATATATATTTTAAAAACTCTCTTCCCGTCTCCCCTGACAGTCAAAGTGCAAATCACAGCCGGAGGAAAGCAGCAAATGATAGATGGCCTTTCCCGTGTTACTATGCAAAAGACAAGAGAAAAGTGTCACGCTGTCACTTGGTGTGTCAACTACATTTCTCGGTGTTTATAGTAGAAAAGACAGGGGTGTCAGGAGGCAAAGCTCAGTATATTTCAATCGGGCTGTAATTGCTGCTAGGAAAGATTGAAGTGAGAGAGAGAAAGAAGCGGACTGGGAATGGAGGAACTACACATATTCAGTTCCAGACAATGATGCCTACTTAAAATTTTCTAATTGGTAATGGGTCCACTTAACTGAGATATTGCAATGATCTCGGCACGTCCATGGTCCAGTTTTGAATACGAGCCATCAAATTTAAAGACAGCCTGTTTGCCAGCCAGAGTATGTATTGGTTGGTTAAGGTTCCCATGAACCACAGATTCATTAAAGCCACTCCGAGTTAGGATGTTGTATGAACCCAAACTACAGTATATGGTTAATCTATAGTTAATGTGTCCTACACAACCAGCGAGTCCCTTGGACTGCAAGGAGATCAAACCGGTCAGTCCTAGAGGAGATCAATCCTGACTGCTCTTTAGAAGGCCAGATCCTGAAGAGGAAACTCAAATCCTTTGGCCATCTAACGAGAAGGAAGGACTCACTAATGCTGGGAACGATGGAGGGCAAAAGAAGAAGGGGACGGCAGAGAACGAGGTGGCTGGATGGAGTCCCTGAAGCAGTCGGCCGTGAGCTTAAATGGACTCCGGAGGATGGAAGAGGACAGGAAGGCCTGGAGGAACGTTGTCCATGGGGTCGTGATGGGTCGGACACAACTTCACAACTAACAACAACACAACCAGAACAAGAGATTGTTTGATGAAGCTGTAGATTGGGGCTCTCCAAAGCTTGCCAACTTTAAGACTTGTGGACTTCAACTCCCAGAATTCCCCAGCCAGCTTCCCAGAATTCTGGGAGTTGAAGTCTTAACAAGTCTTAAAGTTGGAAAGTTTGGAGACCCTTGCTATAGATTACGTATTACATAAATACAGCATTACAGCACTGGAAATGTCCATAAAAGGCAACTATTCTCTCTTACCTCTTGACTTCATCCCAATAAACCGATTCTCCACAATGTCGATACGCCCAACACCATGCTTGCCACTGAAGGGACAAAGTAAACGAGAGATGTTGGCTATATTTTTGGGGGGTTAGCTACATAACAAGGGAGCAACATACATGAGTCAAACTCAAAGGATGAATAGAATAACAGAGTTGGAAGGGACCTTGGAGGTCTTCTAGTCCAACCCCCTGCTTAGGCAGGAAACCCTACACCACTTCAGACAAATGGTTATCCAACATCTTCTTAAAAACTTCCAGTGTTGGAGCATTCACAACTTCTGGTGGCAAGTTGTTCCACTGATTAATTGTTCTAAGTGTCAGGAAATTCCTCCTTAGTTCTAAGTTGCTTCTCTCCTTGTTGAGTTTCCACCCGTTGCTTCTTGTCCTGCCCTCAGATGCTTTGAAGAATAGCATGACTCCCTCTTCTTTGGGGCAACCCCTGAGATATTGGAAGACTGCTATCATGTCTCCCCTAGTCCTTCTTTTCATCAAACTAGACATACCCAGTTCCTGCAACTGTTCTTTATATAACCATTGAGCCAAGGTGGCGCAGTGGTTAGGGTGCAGTACTGCAGCTACTTCAGCTGACTGCTAGTTCAGCAGATCAGCGGATCAAATCTCACCGGTTCAAGGTTGACTCAGCCTTCCATCCTTCCGAGGTGGGTAAAATGAGGACCCATCTGTTTACATAACAGATTCCTGAATATTAACCAACTCCTGCGCTGTCAATCAGTCTAGCTAAATATTGCTCGGATTTGGGAGGTGGGGGAGGGGGAAATACTTACGCAATTTCATTCAGGTAAATGAAGAGTTCCAGAGATGTATGGTAAACAGCCCCATCCTTCTTATTTGTGACTTTCACAGGGACCCCTGCCAGGACAGGAAGAAAAAAGGAAAACCTAGATTATTCTGGGATCCTTGGTGCTCTGAACTCGGCTGTTTCCTTGCAAACGTTTCATGGCCCAACTAGGCAACGTCATCAGTGCTGTAAGTACGGGGTTTGTTTATATACAGAAGCCACATAGGGCCCGTACAGTTATATGGGGGTTTGCTGCCTATATAAACAGAGAGCAAATGCCACTCCCTTCTAGCACTGATGATGTCACCACATTGGGTCATAAAACGTCTGCAAGAAAACCACCAAGCTCAGAGACCACCAAGGACTCAACAGTTCAACCCTGAGCTACAGAAGAACCTCTTCTCTTGCAAACCTACTTTAGCATGGCCCAAAGTGGGAGGAGGCTGGGGGTCTGGCACACCGAGGTGGGGCACATTTCACTCATTTTTGGGAGGTGTCAGTAAGGCAGAGAACCCAGGCCCGGAATCTCCTGATTAACGTCAAGAGTGCCTCTTGAAAACCTCCCTCCGAAGCTGTTAAATAGAAGTGACAGATACGAACTCCAAATAACGTCTCACAAAAGTGTGGCTAAGCAGCTTTGCTCCAAAGGCATTTAAATAGATTTGGGGGTACATAGGGGAGAGGCGGGAGAGAGAGAGAGAGAGAGGGAGAGAGGGAGGGAGGGAGGGGGAGAGAGAGTGGGGGGAGAGAGAGAGAAAGACAAGGAGTGACAGAAAGAGAGAGAGAGAAAGAGAGGGAGAGAAAAAGAGGGAGAGACAGAGATGGAGAGAAAGAAAAAGAGAGGGGGAGAGGGAGAGAAAAAGAAAGGGAGAGACAGGGAGAAAAAGAGGGAGAGACAGAGGGAGAGAGAGAGAAAGAGAAAGAGAGAAAGAGAGAAAGAAAAAGAGAAAGAGAGAAAAAAAGAAAGAAAGAGAGAGAGATAGGGAGAAAAAGAGGGAGAGACAGAGACAGAGAGAGAGAGAGAGAGAGAAAGAAAAAGTGAGAGTGAGAGAGAGAAAGAGAGGGAGAAAAAAGAGGGAGAGAGAGAGAAAGAGAAAGAAAGAGAAAGCGAGACCCTCGTACATTATGAAACTGGATAAATCTCCAGAGAAAAGAGAGTTGGGTTGGGGGGGTGGGGTAAAAAAATGCATCAATACCCCCCACCACCACCACCCCACTTCCATCTACCACCAACCCTTCTCACACACCCTATCGCTGCCTTTCTTAAATTTTTTTAAGCGCGGGGCAGGGTGTGGGGGAGAGAAAGAGAGATGGAAACGGTAGCAAACTCTCCGGCTAATTAAATTTCATGCTTGATCATTGTTTGACGAAGGAGCACCTTCTGTTCCACCAGTCGCGGGGGCCCCCGGATCGGCTGAAAAGGGGGGGGGAGGAGGATGAAGAGGGGTGTCTCTCTCTCTCTCTCTCCCTCCCACCCCACCCCTCCCACCCCACCCCGGACCTGCCACCCACAGCCCCTGTAATGGCTCGATGGACAAATCCTATCTATGTTCTTAGTTATCCGCCTGCCAGGGCTGAATAGGGCCGTCTCCCGGGTCCCATTGTAACTTGGGGATGAGGGATGGCTCCATGAATTAATTATCACACCTTTCTCTTTCGGTGACAAGCAAGGGAAGGTGGGGGGGGGGGAAAGAGGGGTACCCCGACAGGGAAGGAGGATGGTGGCCGCCCAAAAAAAGAAAGAAAGAAAGAAAGAAAGACACAGCCTCCACGCCTCCCCCCCCCCCCCCCCCCCAATCCCTTCTCAAGCAGGATGAAATGAGCAATAAATGTATACGGAAACAAGGCAGCTGGGGGGGAAATGCCACAAAAGCTGACGGAAAAAGGAGTCCTTTGCGGCTAATCTGTCTTCCATCTGCCCTCCTTATTTCCATAGAAGGCTTTACTTGGGGCTAATCAGTCCTCAATAGCTGCTTTTCTAGTCCTCATGACAAATCCTGCTGCGTCTGGAGGAAAAAAAATACCCCCCTTCAAAAAACAGGGATATTTAAAAAAAAAAAATTAACTTTGCAAAGAAAGAAGGGAGGGAAGGAAGGAGGGGGGACGAAAAGTGGGCTACCAGGCGTGAGAGTTTATCAATTTGGTTGTAAATGACGATTAAATAGAAGTGTCCCCCGGCAATAATGAGCCTTAAATCTCATTTGGATGGATGGATGGATGGATGGATGGGGTGGGAGTGGGGAAGCGACCCTCCTTAGCTCATCTGCTTGGCTTGTGTGGAATTGCCAGCTTTCCTGGGGCCATTTGATGCCGGCCGGCCCCGGACGAAGGAGGAGAACGGGGGGCATTGTGTGCCAAAGCTGCTTATCCCTTTGAGAAGAGTTAATAATTAGATTAGGACTTCAAATAAATTAACTAAGAGGTTGGAGTGAGAGAATGGAAGCGCAGGCTAAAGAGAGAGAGAGAGAGAGAGAGAGAGAGAGGGAGAGAGAGAGAGAGAGGGAAGTGGGAGGAAAAGGTTTGTGGATACAAGCTCCTTAACCCGAGATTGAATGGAGGTTGCATCATAAAAGCTGCCCAAATCTTGGTTTGTGTTGCGTGCTAAACGGACGCGCACCCAGAAAGGAAGAAAAGTAACATAATTTAGCACTTCTGCGAGGTTCGTGAAGGGATCGGATCGCGTGCCGACCAAGTTATATGTCTTTGATTCTCTAAATACCCATCGTCAACTATTCAACAAACCTCCCTGAGTTATCTTAGCCTGAGGGTGGGCTATTTATTTCTGACTTTATTGAGTGTGTCTGTAACACTGGAAAGTATTAAAGGGGACAAACCATGCAAACATTCTTGGGGATGAACAGGTGGTGTTTGGAAGGCAGAAGAAGAATGTTTGAGCTGGGATTTTGGGTGGGAAAATAGACATCAAAGCTCGTGTCTTGCTATCAATTTATTTGGGTGTGGTTGTTTTTTTTTTTTATTTATTAAATTTGTTCTAGTCCTCGACTTATGACCAACAATTGAGCCCAACGTTTCTGGGAGACGGTGGTTCAGTGAGTTTTGTCCCATTTTACGACGGTCGTTGAGCACATCACGGCGGCGGTTAAGTTAGTAAGACGGTTGTTAAACGAATCTGGCTTTTTCCGTGGATTTGGCTCGTCAGAAGGTCGTCAAATGTGACCCCGGGATGTTGCGACGGTCATAAATACGAGTCAGTTGCCAAGTGCCTGACTTCAGCTCGTCAGAAGGTCGTCAAAGGAGACGACTGGGACACTGCGACGGTCATAAATACGAGTCAGTTGCCAAGTGTCTGACTTTGGATCACGTGACCACGGGGATACTGCTACGGTCGTAAGTGTGAAAAACGGTCCTAAGCCACTTTTTCCAGTGTAGTTGTAAGTTCAAACGGTCACGAAGCGACCGCTTGTAAATCAAGGATCACCCGTATTACGGCGAGAATCTCCTTACCTTTCTTGAATTCAATCTCTAAGGTATCCGGACAATCTGGAGCTGTGGCAGGGTCCCTGGTCTTTTTGTAGATGGCAGAAGGAGGGTGATTCTAAAAGAGGGAAAATCAAAGAAAAATGAAATAATGGGGTACTTTTTTCCAAATGCCCCACAAATAAAGACCTACAGGTAATCTTCGATATACGACTGTAATGGAGCCTGGAATTTCTGTTGTAAGTCATAATGGTTATAAGACAAGACAAGCACGTGAGCAGCCCAATTCTACAACCTTTTTTTTTTTTGTGGTGGTCGTAAAGTGAATCCATCCATTCCTACGGGCGTTTTTAATTTTATTTATTTATTATTTATTTTATTTTATTAAATTTCTATACCGCCCTTCTCCCGAAGGACTCAGGGCGGTGAACAGCCAGAGGATAAAACACAGAGATACAAAATTCAAAATAGATTAAAACAAATTAAATAATTTAGGCTGAATTTTAAAATACCCCATAATTAAACAGATTAAAATTTGTGTTTAAAATTTTAAATTTAAAAAGGAGAAGATTTAGGCCAGGCCAGCTTGATGAAATAAAAAGGTTTTAAGCGCGCGACGGAAGGTGCGAAGATCCGGGATCCTCCGTATCTCCGGGGGGAGCTCGTTCCAGATCGTAGGTGCCCCCGCAGAGAAGGCTCTCCCCCTTCCTTCCTTTTTGAAGGAAAACAGCCCCAAAGGCCAGAAACAGTTGTAAATTGCTGTCGTGTGACAGTGGAATGCAGCAGCAGACGGGGGTCAGACTAGGAGACCTCCAAGGTCCCTTCCCACTCTCTTACTGTTACCTCCAGAGTCCCTTCCGACTCTGTCATTCTGTATTCCATAGGTGAAGGTAAAGGTTCCCCTCGCACATACATGATAGTCGTTCCTGACTCTAGGGGGCGGTGCTCATCTCCGTTTCAAAGCCAAAGAGCCAGCGCTGTCCGAAGACGTCTCCGTGGTCATGTGGCCGGCATGACTCAACGCCAAAGGCGCACGGAACGCTCTTCCCTTCCCACCAAAGGTGGCCCCTATTTTTCTACTTGCATTTTTTACCTGCTTTCGAACTGCTAGGTTGGCAGAAGCCGGGACAAGTCACGGGAGCTCGCTCCGTTACGCGGCACTAGGGATTCGAACCGCTGAACTGCCGACCCTTTCGATCGGCAAGCTCAGCGTCTTAGCCACTGAGCCACCACATCCCAAATTCCATAAACCGGCTGTAAAAGTGAGCTGGTTGCTAATGGACAAAATGCAGTCGTGGGGCCACACATGGTTAGGACTGAGTCTTAAGTATCTTTTAACTTAGAACAGCTGTTAAAGGAGCACTAAATGTATTCAAGGTATAAACAAACTTTGGGAAAAGTTCAGAGAAGAGCAACGAAGAGGATCAAAGGCCTGGAGACTAAACCATATGAAGAACGGCTGCAGGATTTGGGTTTGGCTAGTCTAAAGAAAAGAAGAATTAGGGATGACATGAGAGCAGTCTTCCAGTATTTGAGGGGTTGCCCCAAAGAAGATGATTGTTTGGGCTAAAAACTTTGGATACACCATAGAATTAGACAAGTGGCAGAAATTGTGGGATAGAAATATTACATTGACGATGTCAACTGCATATAAGGGAAACTTGTATAAAACGTTTTACAGATGGCACTTTGCACCGGCAAGACTGGCAAAAATGTTTCAAGACAGATCGGATAAATGTTGGAAATGTAATCAAACATCTGGTTCATATTATCACATGTGGTGGACATGCCCAAGAGCGAGAAAATATTGGACAAAAATACACACGTGGCTGGAAAAAAATTGATAAAACTACATATAGATCTGAAACCAGAGATATCTTTGCTGGTCATTCTACCAGAAAAATATGATAATAAGACTGCATATTTGATTTTGCATATATTGTATGCAGAATTGTATTTGTGCAACAATGGAAAAGTGATGAGACTCCGCCTGAGGAGAATGTAATTAAAAAAATATTAGACTGTGCAGAAATGGACAGATTAACACTTGCTATTAAGGATAAAGAAGAAACTGAATATTTTTTGATATGGGACACATTTTATCAATGGCTAGATAATAGAAACAGAAGTTAGAAAGGAAGAGATATAAAGGGAGGAAATAGTATAGCGGAGAGTCGTTAAAGAAGACAATGTTAAATGTTAAGCATTAAGGTTATTATATCATAATGTTATTATATTATTAATATGATGGTGATGACTAAATATAATGAAGATGTATAAATACGACTATCAAAATATAATTGTACCCAGAATACACTCTGTTTGATGAAAATGGGGCGTTATATAAATAAAACAAATAAAATGTGGGAGAGAGAAAAAGCATTCTAATTGCAATAGCTACCTTCACCGTGGTCCATGACCAGCATTATCTGAGATAGACTGCCTTACTCTCTGGAGGCTCGACCTGTGCTTTTCTTTGCACCCTAGCCAAACTAAACTTCCCCCCTCCGATCCCCATCTTTTCATATTTCCCCCCCTTCCCCACCCCAGAACGGCCTTTAAATTTGAGCCGAGCTGAGATTTTTTAAAAAAGAAAGAAAAGAAGAACTCTGCACGAGTTTTGCCTCCTTTGCAAAAAAAAAAAAAAAAAAAGGGGGGGGGGACGAAAGAGTCCGCGAACAAAGGGCTAGTGCCAAATCAGTCCATTTATTTTCCCTTCAACTTGATCTCATCTCCTTCTTCGACGCCCCCCACAGCTGGAGACAGATAGCTCTCGAAGGAAAAGTCAGACCAGGAGTGGGGTGGGGGAGAGAGAAAAAAATGTGATTTTCACCCCACCTCTATTTCTTTCTTTCTTTCTTTCTTTTTTTTTGCAAGGTGGCAAAGAACGGCGAGAGATAGAGGGAGGGAAAGAGAGAGAGAAATGGGGGGTTCATTCTGCATTGACTGAAAAACTAATGACTATTCTTGACCTCAGCAGGTGATTCTGGAAACTGTGTTTTCCTTGCAGTGTCTGCGAGGTTAATACACCCGAGGAGGGGGGGAAAATAGAAGAAGAAAGGGGGGGAAAAACTCATTTTGAAAACACATCAACCTTTATGTATAAATACATTTGCTTCTCTCCCCTCCAAACCCCCCCCCCGGCTCTTTTTTCGCCAGATTTTATAGCGCAAGGGTGCCAGATCAGGGTGAGTGGGGGGGTACACCCCCCTCTCTGTTCCCATAATTACGGTATGCCTCAAGCACTTTGGAGAAATGTCCACCTTTGGAGGCATGCAAGAGAAGGGAAAAGGGGGAGTGGGGTGTTTAGAGTTGAGAGACCCGTTTCTTTCCAAGTGGGGAGGGGGAGAAGGAGGGAAGGGGTGAGGGAAACCGCTCCCCTCTCCTGGAAAATGAATGGCACCGTCTCATATTTAACTTAGGCCACTTGGTAAGGGTGGGAAAGGGGTCTTTGGTCCGAGCTGCGGAGGTCTGAACTTGAATCCGGTTGGAAAGTTACTTCTTTTCGTGCCGTTGTGACGTCAAATGGTCACTGAAGGAATGGTTGTAAGTCAAGGACTATATATCTGTATTGTATTGCCCAGAACCAGCCATTATGGATTAGCTTTCTCAACCTCGAGGGAGAGAGGGAGGGAGGGAGGGAGGGAGGAAGGAAGGAAGGAAGGAAGGAAGGAAGGAAGGAAGGAAGGAAGGGGAAGGAAAATAATATGCTTAGGGAAGGGGAAGAGAAGGGAAGGGAAGGGAAAGGGAGGAAGGAAGGAAGGAAGGAAGGAAGGAAGGAAGGAAGGAAGGAAGGAAGGAAGGAAGGAAGGAAGGAAAATAATATGCTTAGGGAAGGGGAAGAGAAGGGAAGGGAAAGGGAGGAAGGGAGGGAGGGAGGGAGGAAGGAAGGAAGGAAGAAGGAAGGAAGGAAGGAAGGAAGGAAGGAAGGAAGGAAGGAAGGAAAATAATATGCTTAGGGAAGGGGAAGAGAAGGGAAGGGAAAGGGAGGAAGGGAGGAAGGAAGGAAGGAGGAAGGAAAATAATATGCTTAGGGAAGGGAAGGAGAAGAAAGGGATGAAAAAAGAAAAGAAAGAAGAACAAAGTAAGAAAGTAACCGGATAGGAAAAGGAAAGAGAAATAAGGAAAGGAAGGGGTCAGCCAAGAGTTTTTGCAGCTCAGATCTTACTCCCAATGAGAGAGGGAGGGAGGGAGGAAAGGAGGGAGAAAGAAGGAAGGAAGGAAGGAAGGAAGGAAGGAAGGAAGGAAGGAAGGAAGGAAGGAAGGAAGGCAAAATAACAATATCACAGCTGGAAGGGACCTTGGAGGTCTTCTAGTCCAACCCGAAGGGAGGGAGGGAGGAAAGGAGGAAGGAAGGCAGGCAGGCAGGCAAGCATCAATGCTACATCAGGAGCAACCATTGACTGGCCTCTAGAAAAAAAATGAAAGCTGGACCTTCTTAGAGGAACACAGCCAAGGCAAGCATGACCCAACATCTAATGTGCTTCCCCCCCAAAACCATCATCCGGCTGACGTCACCGAAGAAGACTCCCCTTAGAAAGCTTGCTGGCCGATGGCCAACTCAAGCATTTGCCTCTCATCCAACAGGCCCCAAGAACAGATGGGAGAACGCAAGGAGAACCCAGTGATGAGACAGCAAACTTAATTATTTAAACCATGCAGATCAATTTCCCTCAACCGGGATGAGAAGGTGCGACATCCCGACCGCTAACCAAACCCAGAAGGACGGTACCTCCTGTTCCAACACCTGGTCTTTCCCCCCACCCCCACCCCAAAACAGCAGACAAGATGGGCCACGGAAATTTGAGATTAGCTGAGTGGAGGGGAGCATTTTGCTTCTAACTTCCCCTAACTTCTCCTTGAATCACAACGTGGTTGATGCAAGTTGCTTCACAACCCCATCACCGAATAACAGAGTTGGAAGGGACCTTGGAGGTCTTCTAGTCCAACCCCCTGATTAGGCAGGAAACCCTACACCACTTCAGACAAAGGGTTGTCCAATCTCTTCTTAAACGCTTCCAGTGATGGAGCATTCACAACTTCTGGAGGCAAGTTGTTCCACTGGTTAATTGTTCCAACTGTCAGGAAATTCCTCCTTAGTTCTAAGTTGCTTCTCTC